TCTCTCTCTCTCTCTCTCTCTCTCTCTCTCTCTCTCTCTCTCTCTCTCTCTCTCTCACACACACACACACACACACACACACACACAAAATAAAAATGAAGTCACTTAAAGGTTATGGGACATTCTTTACTGGACAAACTATGCGTCCAAAACGAGGGTGCGCCCCCACCCCCCCCCCTCCTTTGGCCAATTGGCTGACCAGTGGTTAACGGGGGAGGGGGGGGTTAACCATGTAAAACACTGTAAGCATGATTTGTTGGCCACTCTATGGAGTAGTGGCAAGTTTGGTTAAAAAAGCCTTCGGGTTTTCTTATAAATAGCATTAAAAAAGGCTGAAATTGTGGGCCCGTTAACCTTCTGTCCATTGGCACAGACCCAGAATTGAAAAGATTAACAGACCTGAGTCATTTGATGGCTTACATGGGAAAGTGAGGAATGAGGTGTGGCAGACTTGACACTTGTGCCACTTCCGAAGGCAAGGCACCACAGATGGGATCTATGCAACATTTGGCACTGGACAAACAAGGGGGGGGTAGGAAGAACAGCAGAGAAAAAGAGGGGTAGAAGGATGGAGCGAGGAGGGAGGAGGGAGGATGAGGGAGTAATAGGAGTAGGAAGAGGGCCGATGAAGGTGGAGGAGGGAGGAGGAGGGGAGGAGGGGAGGAGAAGGAGGAAGACAGGGAACGACGAAGCAGACAGAGGACGAGGAAGAAGGGAAGGACGGAAGAGGGAGGAGGAGGAGGAGGAGGAGGAGGAGGAGGGAGGAGGAAGTGGAGAGTGGGAAGGAGGAGGAGAGGAGATTAGGAAGGAAGATAGGAGGAAAGAGGAGGGAGGGAGAAAGGACGGACACGGGAGGAGAGAGGAAGGAGGAAGAGGAGGACAAAGGAGCGTGGACGGAGAAGGGAGGAGGAGGGAGGAGGGAGCGTTGTCTTGAGGGGAGAAAGAAGAAGAAGGAATAGGAACGCAAGACAAGGGCAACAACTAATAAGTGGATATGAAGGGCGTGGGTAGAGGAAAGCATAAAAGAGCAGAGGAAGAGAGGGAAGCACAGCAAAAAAAATGGAAAGGAAAGAACTCTCTCTCTCCTTACCTGCTTGATGTGCATCTTGACATACTCTGCAGGTTCACCGCCACCCCCCTCAGAATATATATATCCTCTTCTCCCTCTCTGCCTACAGTTTACCGCGCAGCTCTGTTTGACGATATATATCATCACATAAATATCAGAGCGCCAAAGAAAAAAAAACGAAGGAAAACAAAAAAGATATCAGTTCATTTTGTATCTTCTTCCTTACAACTCCCCCTGTTCAGAACCTCTTGCGTACAGTATATTATATATTGTCACATTGTGAATCAGAGCGCAAAAAAGGGAAAAGAAAAAAGGAAAAGGAAAAAAGGGAAAGGGAAGGAGGTAAGGAAAGCTCCAC